TTGTATCAAAGAACGAATCAAATTGCCTGTTAGAAAATAAGATGGTATCTACATTAATCTGGAGACATGTCAGATTACTGTAGTTTTTTCAGTCAAACACTTTATGGCTTACTATTTAGCTATCTTACCATGACCGACGTAACATCGTATGTACATCATAAATTCCCAGTTTCTTTCTTGCTGTACATGGCAACCTAAAAAACTTGTCAAATTAACCAAATCATTGCTGCAAACAGCTCCATGAATGCTCCTATCTCCGACACTTCACCCAAAAAAATAACTCTTGCACGTCTTGCGTGCCTATGTTTAGACTAGTTATTATGAGTCTGGTTCTCCTCTGTTGCGACTTCTTTCGCGGTCGTCATGGTTTTCAGTTTCTGGGGTGTTTTGATGCGCATGGTCAACATATCGATATCTAACTGCTAAGAAAAGAAACACAGCCGCGTTGATCAGCATAAGACCAGCTAAGAGGAACATGTAATCCTCAAGCGTGCCATCGTTGAGGTCGTCAGGATACCACTTGCTATCTGAAGCTTTCTTGACAATGGAAGCCAACAGACCTGCCACGTAATATCCTAAGCCAATCATAGCCAGGCACAGACCCATCACTACGCCACGCAGGTCGGAGGGGGACTGGGAATAGGCAAACTCAAGACCTGAAATGAAAACGGTTTCACTCCACATATGTTACTTTGACTTGCAAGTAAAGCCTCGTCTGTTACTCTTTACTCTTGTCTGCAGGCAATGGTCCTCGACTTATCAATTGAGAGTTTTAAAACATTTCCATGCCATCTCAATTTGGCTCGCTGCAAATTAAGGGTCATCCTAAATCCTATATATTGCAAACGCTGCGTCAAAAAAATGTGTCATTTGCATGGAAGAAGTTTTTATGGAGCAATTCAACTTTAGAACTTTGCCGTGCTACTTTCATGGTTCACGACTGACCGACCCAGGTACTGTCAAGACGCAAGACATGCAAAAATGCAATAGCCTGGAGAAAAGAATCATTAACTGTACAAAACTTTGCATCAGGGCAAAAAGATCAGGAACTCACGATTTCGTAAGCTGGGAACGGTGAGAGGGTGAACTTAAATTTGAAAAACATGCAGACAAAGAAAAAGAAAAGAAACGGCTCTTGGTATGTAACAAGACACAAGACAGGTCACAATAGAACACCGGCTCACAAACCTACTGTTTTTATTGTTTTCCTTGTTCTTTTGTCCTTTTGTTCTCTATCGTTTTACGTCAACTGTGTCTTTTACACTAAGTAATTATGAGAGCCAAAGAAACGCTGCAATTTTAAAAGCTAGAGTTAAACTATGTCCGAGAGCTGTTACTCACCTGTCACAGATACCAACGCTTCACTTGTTCCTTGCAGAACGTACTGAGGCACTTGATAAAACACACTCATGGTGGATGCGTTTACTGTTTTATTGAAGACATCTTGTTCGAATCTGCCGTGGCCATGTTTTCGTTCAACTTCAATAATTCCTGCGACAACCACCGAGCCAGCGGCGAAGAGCATTCCGACACCGATTCTGCGCAATGGGGTGAAGTTGAAGCCAATACGAAGAAGGCCTGGGTACACAACTCGGTCAATGAGAGGAATGAGAATCAACAAGGACACTATTTCGAACAAGGAGAGTGACGCTGCAGGAAATGAGAGTTTCTCTGTGATTTTTAAATTCATGTAAGAACCTTGCATGAGGTAGGTGGTGAGACCCTGCAATAAAAATAGTATGAAAAACGATAGGTGTCCATCATTGAACGATACCAGGGAATTCTTAAAAGGAGACTAGAACGTGCAGACTTTGACTGACTCACGACTCTGTTTTACAATACACGCAATAGAATGGGCACACACTACAGAGTCAGTACAGTGTCAATTCCAGGTTTAAAACTGAACAAGGTAGTCCAACTTAATGAACAACATTGCACGAAAGTGCTGCTCATTAACTCTTATCAGAGTGGTCTCCCATTACAGTGTCGTCCACACGACGCTGTACTGTTAGAACTACCTTGTATAGAAAAATAAACAGTACAGCATTAAAGTACTGCTTAATAGCTTTTATATATATTATTATATGACCACACACTTGGCGCTATCCTAGCAACATAACAGGTAGAACGACGTGGACAAAACCTGCGAGGTGTGTGTGTGGGATTCAAAGGGACAAAATTAGTAGGAACTAAAACAGTGAAAGGAAGTGAGTGGCTTGGGGAAGGCAAACAAAACGAAAAAAAATCGTCAAGGACTGATCGGTCTCTGTTAGCAGCTCCAACTAGCAGCTAGCTGCTACCCACCTACATTATCTGCCTGCCTGCCTGTCTGTCTGCCTGTCTGCCTGCCAGTCTGTCTGCTACAAGCTTGCCTGTCTGTCTGTCTGTCTGTCTGTATGTCAGCCTTTTTGTCTGTCTGTCTGTCTGCCTTCCTGTCTGTCTGTCTGTTCGCCTGCCTATCTGTCTGTCTGCCTGTCTGTCCGCCTGACTGTCTGTCTGTCTGCTTGCCTGTCTGCCTGCCTACTTGCCTTAATTCTGACAGTCAGCCAGTTAGTCTATCAGTCAGTTAGTAGGCCAATCGTGCATTATTACTAGTGATTATTTTTTTTTACACGCTAGCTCCTCGGAGCTGAAGAGCACGTCTATTAAATATACATATGCTAATCTAAACAGGAATCTTTTTTAACAGGAAATTAAAATAAATAGGTTTCATTACATACCGTCTGTGATAGGCTAAACAAAGTTGAATAAAGAGCCAAGAACAATCGGGATCCCACTAACTCACCTGACCAAATATTGTCCAATAGAATATAAAGGTTAGGAATATTGGAAGCAACCGAACTACTGACTTAACACCCTCTACCATTTCATGAGAGTACTTTCCTCCAAGAGAATCTTTACCTCCATCCAGCCAGTGGGTCGAGGATGGATTCTTCTTACAGCAGAATTTGTCCCTCAGCCCTCCACCAATGATGCGGAGGGTATCTGCCAGGTAACTTCCTTGTGGTGGGTGTAAAATGTAGTGCTTTCTTCCGATCAGTAGAAGAATTGTTGCACAAGCTATAGAGACTGAGGTTATTAGGAAACCATAGAAAAACGAGACCTCTTGTTGGACGTACGCCACAACGGTATAGGCAAACAGCGACCCAACCTGAATAAACCAGTAAAACCAGTCAAAGAATTTTCGCACCATCTCTTCTCCTTCATCCTGTAGTTGGTCTGCTCCCATTGGAGACACGTTTGCCTTGATTCCACCTGTTGCCAAGGCAATAAGGATGAGTGAAACAGCAAGGAATCCTTCTTTACTTGAAATACTCAGAGCGTGGGCGGGTGGGTAGTTATAGGTAGTGGCTGTAAGGAGTGCGGTGCCAGCGACGTAAAGCAACGAGGATCCATATATGGTGTTGTATCGTCCAATCAATGTGTCAGCCAGCCAACCACCGATTATAGGAGTGAAGAAACATGTTCCTAAAAGAAAAAGAAAATTATTTTATTTTACTGAGGTCAAATTAGCCACGGAAAAAGAAAGCCCACTCCCCTTAAAGAAATAACGTCCAAAATTCGTGTATTTTTAAGAAGGGCAGCTTGATCACGCTTTTTGTGTCAATTCCTGCAGTTTGCATCAGCTATTTAAGAGATTGAAAAAAATGTATTCCGGGCATTTTCGAGAAAATTGCGGTGAAATTTCAAGGTGTCAAAATACAACAAAAACAAAGATGTTTTTAAATGTCATTGCAAATTATTTCCAAAAGACTTAACTGAATGGTACTTTGGTCTTAAATCGATCTTGTAACATCTAATTACCTCGAGTGAAAATCCCAGAGAAATCGTTTCATTTGATATTCAGAAACATTGGCTTGAATATCATACATGGCTGCCAATTTTAAGTTGTTTTGCATGCATTTAAATTAGCCTCACTAAAAGTCGTTTGAGAGTAAATATTCTTTTGAATTATCTACTCAAAAACGTAACATAGGTCAAGTCATGTGGCGCATGCTAAAATATACGTCTAACCCGTAAATTGAAATTTGATGGTCAAATATTTGCATTTTTTGACGTACTTTGAAAAGCTCTCGCGTCGCTCACAATCATTTGCCCAAAGAAATTTTTACAGGAATCTGTAGACCA